GGGAGGGGGGTGTATTTGGGTGGCACTTGCATCTAAACACTTTTAGAGTTTCAGTAAGGTAGTCCTCAAACAGTAACAAGGGGAGCTTTCAATGTAGGGGTGGGGGAGTTGGAGAGACATGTGAAGAGCAAAGTGGGGGTTAAAAGGCTTGTAGAGCTGGGAGTTGAAAAGCTATGCAGGGCCTGGGGATTAAATAGCTAAAGTGCATGGAGTGTACAATTCTACAAAACATTATCAGACTAGCTTGGACAATTCCTTTATATTCATATACATATTTTATACTTATAGCAAAGTTACTTCATGTGACATCGGAATGGTCTAAAGTGATCACCAAGAGATTAGTAAAATATATTTGAATATACCAAAGTTCCCAATAACACTTCAGAAATTTCAAGTATATGTACAAAGATATTAAAATGAAAGTTAAATGCAATAAAAATTATCAACTATGATCATGCTTCCCCACCAAAATTCAGTTCCTATGTACAGTATCTACCTTATGGAATATATATTGTTATTGGATGTTCGTTTCTTCAGTTCTGATGTAATCGCTCTGGTTCTGAAAATAATTTCAAGCCATTTCTCCCGAGTTTCCTTTTTTATTGACGACTTATATTCACTTTCGTGCGCGCTCATGACTGGTATTCTAAACAATGAAATTTGGTGCTTTTGGCTTGTTGAACAACCAAAAAAGCACAATTACGGCCAGGCATAGCTTTAATACTTCATAGCTAGCTAACGAAATTCCCAACAGATGGCCAACATATATTATATTGATATTATTTCAATGTAAATTAGGTGGTTCGTGATATGTATTATTACGCCATTTTTAATATGATGCACACTATTTGACACGTGACCCTTCCAAGCATGGATCAAAGACATATTCCGAAACTCCGCCCACTTTCCAAACCATCCCCTTCTATTAACTGTGGTTTGGTACATTAGTATGTGATACAATTCACTAGAACAAAACATTTTGACTTGATACTGCAGTTTAGATGTCGTTACTCAACAAACTATTTTTACGTATTAATAATGAACGGAACTCGAAAATATATTTATACTAGAAATACATGCATGCAGCAACCCCTCGCCAATATTTCCATACATTAAACATGAAGTACTAGTATTCAGAAATGACCAGCACTGAACGCAGGCTTGTGCTCAAGCGTTGCCATGACAACACGATTTTGTCACGATATTCTTAAATTTTTATTTTCATATATTTTGTACAAAACTGCAAAATAGTTGACAGATTCGTACTTTTAACTATACAACAATAAAGTTCCGAAATACACACTGTGGGTATATTATTTTGCATTTTGTGAGCTTTGATTTAATGTAAAATTTAACTTGAAATGCTTCGTAAAATGTTTTGAAATGCTCATTCAAGTAAACCTACATTTGCCGATAAACTGTTTTACTTAACAAAACATGATAAGTTTATAAATATACAAATAAAATAAAATTGTTAGGTAATTTCAGTTCAGTTTTCAAATCAATTTGTTCGCCTTTACATTTTAAGATTTTTTCTCAAATTAAACGGTAATTTATGAAACTTAGAGCTTCTATAGTTCATGTTTTTTATTTAATATGTAAAAAGTTAAAGCGGAGTAAATAGCCGGGGGGAATTAGTACCCTCGCACGGCGCTTCGCGCCGCCGGCTCGGGGATTAAATGGAAGACAATACCATCTTGGGTCCAAACATTACAATAAATTTCAAAATCATTTATTTTATGACCAGCTATATGAGCGAATATATGTTTCAAAATTGCAACGGCTCACGGCTGAACAGTTAAACGTTTACAAATTGACAACAACAAACTCTTAACTATAAAAATATATCACAATACGAGCTAAATTACACTGTAGTTTGTATTCTGCTGTAAAACTCACAATAACCGATAAAAGCAACGTTTGTAGATCGAGTAGTAAGTTTCATAAATACATAAAGCGACATGTATTTAATGGATACATAATTTGTCAAAATCTGTATTTCCAAAGTTGATTGGGTATAGCTACTGTATTATTTAGAGAAATACCAACACATGCATGGGTTTGTATCCATGCTCTTCGACTTGTCAAGGCAGATATCCAATGGGAAAACCTGCCAAAACATCTCAACGCCCCTTTCGCATCAGATTACGACACAATTTTTCTAATATAAATATCTCGGCGAGTATTTACCCCCTTTGTAAATAAAAGCCACCATTGAAATCCTCATAAAATAACCTTTCGAACGGGGGGTCAAGTGCCGTCAGAGCATTACACAAACCGAAACAATCATATATTTACTCACCGCTTGGCCAAAGATTCTAGATTTCATATCTACAAGATCTTGAATATCTCTTGAACTTTTCGTCATTTTCTGAACGGCTATATGTGTAAAATAGTCTTTGTATCCAAGCGCTTTCGTGTAGAAAGTTTCGTATGTATACGCCGACTAGAAATATTTATTTTGAATTTTTCAATATGTCGGGTTTTACTCGCACTTGCGTACATTGCGCAATAATTAGCCAATAAGAAGCTCCTGTTGGCCGGTATGACGTCAAACTCACGCGTGTAGGTGCAATTTGACCTTGCGAATTCATTTCTGGCCTTTCCAGGGTCATACGATACAAACATCGCATTGTTTTGACGGTTTTCAGACGTATTCCGGTTGGGATTAACTCACTTCGAGCTCACAGTCGGACAAGAAATGGAAATATATTGATAAAAGATACAGATTTGAAGATACAGGCTTGCAAATAACACTCTAAATAGTGTTTTTGATGGGGATTCGAACAAGACTATTACAAAGACGATATGTATGAAGGGGCCGAAGTTATTTTCAGCGAAAGGTATGGCTAGTCTATATTTTGTTCAGACAATTGCGTAATTTGATACAATATTATCGTGTTTGACTTTCAAAGGCCCATAATTTGCCATAAATTGTTACAATGTTAATAATGACTATAACTATCGTTTGGAGCTAGTAGATCTTTTATTTCTGAATCGATTGGTGGTATTTCTGTCTTCATAGCATGCATTGAACCGAAGGTATGAAATTTCTAGCCGTCGATCGCTCAGGATCGACGCGACCTGGCTGTGGTGAGAAAGAGTTTTAAAACCCAAATTCACAGCACTCTTTCAAAAATATACGCTAATATACGCTTTTATCGATAGCGTGTAAACATTGCGCCACGGTGATTGATGGGTATTTTTCGGAAACAAAGGATTGGAATATCAAACTAGGCCTACTACAACTGCCTGCAGAGGCAAGGTAAGCCTAACTTATTATTGTGGCTAGCATAGAAAGAAACGAATATTTAGGGAGAAATTTGATATTATTGTGTGAGCTACAGTCTGAATCTGAATGAAATTATGCTGACAGGCGATCGCGTATACTGTGTTGTTCAAATTTCGTTTATTGTTAATTTATTATTAAAGTCTTATCAGGACAGGTTTTGGATTGCATCAAATTTAGAACTGGCGTGTATTTTTATAATTATGATACTTACAAAAGTATAAATTTCAAAGTCCCGAGCAATTAATCAGTTTATTTCTTGTGGGAAGTTGTCTGACGTGTTCATGTTGAACTATAAATACAAACCGAATATATCTGATTTGAAGTTGATATAGCAGAATTTGTGATTCGATCAACTAACAAGTCTACATGTGAATTGAACAGGATACCTTAAATAAGAAACCTTCTCATGCATGTTCAAACTTTTTGAAACTAATGCATTATATTTTAAATACAGTAACCTTTTGATGAAGAGAATGACACAAAAGGCCACAAACTATAGTATGATCTAGCTATTACGGTAAAATGAATCAATATGTTAATACACTAGTGCATGTATAAAAGCATTTACTTCGTAAAATAAAGGACCATTTGATCAATCACGAAATGGTGTATTATGGTTTATGACTGGTGAAGAAAATACATTATGTACTTTTGGGATGGATCCAGCCTAACAAAATAGGAGATGTCGATCATTGTGTGGGGTGTAACCATGCACCCAGCATGCATAAACCGTGATAATCTGTGGCTGCAAATAAACTTTGTTGGCATAGGCGTACCGGGCGGGGGGCGGTAGCTCCCCCAGTTTTTTGGGCAGTCGGGCAATATTCGATCAACAGTCGGGCAATTTTGGTTTGAAATAAAAAAAAATGGGACCAATTCTGTCAATTTTGTCTAAAATTAAGTCAATTTTTTGGCCAATTTTGTGTTTTTGGAGAATTTGTCTTATGTTCTTTTTTTTGACCCCTAAAATGGTACACTGACCGAATTTTTTTTGGCGACGGGGGGGGGAGGGGGGGGGAGGTCGCCAAAATAATTTTTCCGGAAAAAAAATTTCGGTACTAGTCGGGCACAATCCCGAAAAGTCGGGCAATTTTCTTTCCGCCCCCCTAATTTTTTCCTTCCGGTACGCCCATGTTTGTTGGCCGATGGGCAACATTTTTTCTGGGTCTCTGTGACAATAAATTACCTGAAAAATATAACAAGAACTTGATTTTTTGGGCAGACTCTTGTCTGGAAGAAATCCTACATGTCTGATGTCTAGACTATAGATTGTCTGGTACATGTCTAGACTAGATGCCCTTTCATTTCCATTTACCCTACCATCAATTTTGCTTTTCAAAATATTTTGTCTATATTTCTCTCCGTGTTTAATGGTAAATGACTGCAAGTAGCACAAAACAATCAAAAGAGAAAGGTGGGAACCGCACATTTTGCTCTGCCATAAACTGTTGAAACAGTAAACGTAGTCATCCAGAGCTGAGTTTTTTCCGTTTTCCATCAGACAGGAACAGGTAGGTCAACAAGTCCAATTTATTGCGATCTTCGCGATCATTCAATCAATGTTGTGTCCAATATCTAGTAATGAACTAATGTCAGCTATTTAGGAAACACTACAATTCCAAATTATTTAGGTCCAAAGAATGGGTTGTGCTTTCTAGGCGTGAGGACCTTCTTGACGAATGTCCAGAATACTTGCACAAGAACTGCAAATTGTGTGCCCATCACTTTGAAAGCTGCATGTTCTCAAATGATAAAGGGAATCGATTGACAAAGTGTGCAAAACCAACACTGTTCAACATACCCAATCCGCCTGCTAAAGTGGGTGAAAAAAGACGACTTGTTGAAAAAGTGTCAACTATCCAAAGCAAGAGTAATTATTTCAGGCTGCATGCAAAATAAATGCAAATCAATAATAAATATTAATAATACATTGAAAAAAAGTGAAATCTATACTACGAAATTTGGAATTGCACCACAAAATCCATAGCGTTTCCATACTATATCCATACTATGTAAATATACAATTATTATGGATAACCAATATCCATTCTATTTCCAATAAAGGTCCATACAATTTCCATTCTATGACATTCTATGGATTTTCAAATTTTTTCCAGTGATATAATATTAAATATTAATAATAATAAATATTAGTGATAGTAAATAATTAACAATTATTGAATGAGGTTGAGCACGATATGAAGAATTATCAAGCCCGTAGTTTGCCGTTATTAACCGAAGCCGAAGGCTGAGGTTGATAATGGCAAAATGAGGGATTGATAATTTTCATATTGTGCGAAAACCGAACTCAATAATTGTTTTATTTATTTAAAAATTCGAAACAAACATTTGTATTTAATTTGTATTGAGAAAAAAACAATTCCTTAGTCCTTCGGCAGCTGTCGTCGTCGCCATATCAATGGCGTCAGCGAGTCAATATGATTCTCGTCGTCATAGTAATATGGCGCAAACGCATCCAAATTTTTTCCATATTGACTCTTTGACGTCATTTTGCTAATATGAATGTAAATTTGGTTAGTCATTGAGTTGATATGACAATTTCACAGTTGGCTGTTAGCCAATCAGAAACCAGGATTTTTTAAAATAAATAATAATAACAAATAAATAATAAAAATATTATTAATTTATAATAAATAGTATTAATAATAATAATAAATATTGTAGAAAACTTAAAATATACATTTTCATAATTATCTTTTTTGCCTCATGAAATACCACACAAACCATATATTAAGTTTAGTTTTTTATATATACCACAGGGAAGAAACAAAAAACTGAAAGGACCAATGTTACTAAGCCTAGTAATGGTATGTGAAACAAATTATTTAGATGCCCTACTTAGTTTTTTTCACTGGTATACTGTCATTAAACAAATAAGTGGCATATGCAAATCCATTCTCTTTAAATAACCTCTACCTAATATATGCTCATACATCACTTGGATCAAATTATCATCCTCTTTAAATTAATTTTATTTTCATCTACAGTGGTTGCTTCACAACCTATAGAGGATAGTACATGTGAGCTCACATCTAAAGACCAGAGCTGCAGCGCTGCCACAACTTCCACAGCTGCAACACCACTAGCACAAGATTTCAGCGGTCAGATTTCATCTACAGTGGTTGCTTCACAACCTATAGAGGATAGTACATGTGAGCTCACATCTAAAGACCAGAGCTGCAGCACTGCCACAACTTCCACAGCTGCAACACCACTAGCACAAGATTTCAGCGGTCAGACAAGCAAATCTCTCCTACATAATACTTCTATAAAAAAGAAGCAGAGAAAAGTTATCCGTGCACAAGTCCAAAAGATTAGACGACTTAGGAAGGCTTTACAGAAAAAAATCAAGTAAAAAAATAAGTGAAGAAAAGGCATTCGAAATAGCTTTGGCAAAACTTCCAGAAAACCTGGCAAACTTTGTTAAAATGCAAGTAAATCTACATAGTAAGAAAAGGAAAGGAAGGAGATATCTCCCCAACTTAAATTTTTGGCAATTTCCATTTATCACGCAAGTGGTAAAGCATACAGAATGTTGTCGAAATTGTTTATTTTGCCAACAGAAACATCACTCAGGCATTACATATCAAAACTACCAGCTACCCCTGGCTTTTCCCAAGGCGCACTTAATATTATCAAGAGCAAAGTGTCGCATATGAATGAACAGGAAAAAATCTGTACTTTGTGCCTGGATGAGATTTCCCTCAAAACCAATTTATTTTATGACATACCTGGTGACAAAATTGTAGGTTTAGAAGATTTTGGCAGTAGTTACCGTACAAACAAAGTGGCAACATCAGCACTTGTGTTTCTCGTCCGTAACATCACAGGAAATGGGAAACAACCACTGGGTTATGTCCTTGTGAATGGTGCATGCCACAAAGACGAAGCGGAAAGGCTCATGAAGGAAGCAATCGATAAATTAGATGCCATTGGTCTTAAAGTTCCGAAACTGACTGAAAAGCATATACATCCTAACAATTTTTGTAAAATGAAGGTGAAGTTGGCCACCCAAGTATTAAGCCACACTGTAGCAGCCAGTATATGCACATATGTAAGTGTAGGGGCCCTTCTATCTTCAGCAATGGGAACAGCAGAGCTGCTTTTAAAGTTTGATTCTCTCTTCGATTGTGTCAACAGTGCCACTTTGCGTTCTGCAAAAAAGTTCAAATGTGCCCTAAATGATACTTCTCCGCATATTAGCTTTTTTAAGGGAGCCATAAGATTTTTAAAGGGCTTGAAAGTTTTAGATCCTGATGGCAAAGAAATAACTAACAGGATTAAGTGCCTAAAGGGGTGGTTGCTTACCATTAATGCCATTCTTTTAATTTGGGAGCACCTTAAGGTTAGTCATGAGTTTAAGAGCGGGTGTCTGTAATGGTCAAGTAAGACGTGTAAAATGAAAAAGTTCAAAATCTTTCAAACTTTGTCAGAATGTAGGCCAATATGAAGTATTAATGTTGTGAAAGTTTTATTTCGATCAGATAAATATTGACGGAGAGAGACGTCGAAATTGGTTTTCCCAGGCCACTTTCGATTTTTAGAGGTCATTTTACGGCACTACCAAAATCGCTCTATTTTGCGCTTTAATGGGAATATTTCACAAAACATAATATCGTTTTATAAATTAGAGATATTTATTGATTAGTAGACGAAATTTAGAGACATTTCTGTAAAAAGTGAACATTTTACAGATTTTCTTAATGTTTTTTATTTTCAAACCTCTTTATTATATGCCATATTAGGCAGCGAATATCTCCATTGTTACATCGATTCAGACAAAAAATTCATAACCAGATCAAAGAAATATGTTTTCCCTTGCTATTAATCAAATAAAATTTTTGGGCAACTTAGAATTGAATTTTTAACGAATTTTTTCGTAACCCTTATTTGACCCGAATAAGGGAGCATTCATTTTTTAGCTGGGGGTGGGGGGGGGCCGGAGGAACTGATGTCTAATTCCATGCGAAAACTTGGAACCCCCAAGACAAAAGTTGATAAAAAATTATGACCCCCTATTTTTTTTACTGAAAATTTTTTGACCCCTCATCCTAACTATTAATCCACACGGTGTCGTTTCCATAGCGTTTCAGGGCCGTAGGAAGTTTTTTTTGACTGGGGGGGCTGAAAGCGAGGGCCGAAGGCCCGAGGAAATTTTTAAATCTAGAGTCTCTGAAATGCCATTTCCTGGCCTTTGGGGGAAGATTTGACAGAATTCTGATGGTCAGAAAACAGCGTTTTAGTATGTCAAAATTGACAATTTGGTAGTACTAAATGGGCGAAGGCATATTTAATTTACTATATGTTGGATAACTAGGATAAGTTGCAGGAAACTGTGGGTACTATCTTCATTCTTTGCAGTTTGTCATGGATAATGTAGCCGCTTAAAATTAATAAAGCTTGTAAAATTGTAAAGTTCTGCATGATTTTGAAGTCATGCAGACCTTGAAATCATGCATGATTTTGAAATCATGCATGATTTTGAAATCATGCTACGGTCCTGCGTTTTCTTTCATTGATGTTTTCACACAAAAACGGATAAAAACGAGGTCAATTGACAAACGTCATGGAAATGTTTTCCTATGGACTGTGTGAACAGAGCGTCAAATGAATTTTGCTTCTTTGTTATAGATGACGAGATAGTTGATAGATTCTAGACCTTTTTACCATTCTTGATCCAAGTATTTCCAAATTCAATAAAATCATATTGGTGATTTTTTCACTGATTATTTTTATGACCCCCTCCATTTATAACAAAACTATAAAAAGACCCACCCCTTTGAAGCATGTCAAAATTGGCTGACCCACCCCCAAATTCCTCCGGCCCACCCCGCCAGCTAAAAAATGAATGCTCCCTAACCGTATGTTATGTAATCAACGTCGAGTCATGTAGTTCTATAAATAACCAAAGAGCTCGTCAAAAGCGTTTACTTCTTCGAGTAAACAAGCCTATGCTTATAAAACTACCTTAGCTAAAGTTGTACGATTGGCAGAAAGCATTTAGGTCTAAATCACAATGTTTACAGTCGCTTATTGTTCAGGTAATGCCTGTAATATATTGTATAGCCGGCGCCGCTGATTTGGCGGTTTGGTTTTAATTATATTTTATCGGGAATATGCCGCGATAAGTATAGCAAGCTAAGTGTATTTTCTCTCCCCTTCCCATAAACATCTGTTCTTTCACGACTCGTCGTGCTTATAACTGTTCGAACATAAATAGTGCAAGCGCTTTTTGTCAAAAACATCTGTCAGTTTACGTTGAAATTGTAATTCGTTTACTTACAGTAATTAATTTAATTAATATTAAAGCTGGATTCTTTCACCGTGATGTCATGCCAAAAGGTGTCTTTTCTATTTTTAAAAAAAACCCTCTGTTCATTTATGATTTGGTAATATTTACTACAGTTGTATGTCTTGTATATTTGAATTTGATTATTTTGTTGTTGCTCAATAACTTTAGTCAAACTTCAGACCAAACTTCTACGCACTGTTACTTATTTAGTAGTTTTAACTGGCCATCACTTCAGTTTAAAACAGCAAGAAGAAAAAGACAACATGTACGTGTGAGTTATCCATGAAATAAATAGTTGGTTTACAAAATGAATTCCGTCTTCGTGGAAAAAATTAATGAGTTATAAATAATCTCTCCTGTATGTGTTAAGCTACATGTAGGGATTTCCCCCGGTATATTTCTTCTCTTTTGTATGGCTGTTTGTGGTTACGCGTTATCCAGTGCCTTTTTTAAGGAATTTTCACTGGGGCAAAACAGGAAAAAGGGCAGAACGAAAAATATGAGCCGTCGAGGTTTGGCGAACGCGCGAATCTGAAGAGAGATTTTGTAAATCTTTAATTTATTAACTTCATCTATATTTAACAATTATTCGCCGAAGGCGAGGTGCATGGCTAGAAATCCAATACAGTATGCGGTTTGACCTGCAGGCTCAAATTTACATAAATTGCGGATTTGCATAAATTAATTACTTGGTATTAAACATTGCGGTTCATTTCTACAAGGAGTTGAACGAGATAAAGAGTCTTGTTCTGTGCAGCACAGCTGATTTTTATAGCGAGAACAAGACTAAACGCGGCAAATATATTGTGAATATCTAAAGCCAAAAGGTCAAAACTATATCCTGCGTATACATTGCGCTTCATTAGCATATGCGAATGAAGGGCTTGCAATTGCTAATTTCCATTGCAAATAGCAATCTAATAGCGGAATATCATACATGTTTAATACAACAACTCAGCGTAAACACTGTAAAAATACATAAGAAACAATTTATATGTAAAATGCTTCTTTATTGACCTTTATTGATGAATTTCGTAAATTGCGAAATTTGATTCCCAACAGAAAGTGTATATTTACCAAGCCAAATTTCAAATTTTACCGCTTATTTGCGCTTTTATTTCTGCATCCACGATCAAATAAACGTTGCAGCGGTAAACACCATGAAAAACCATAACAACAGTTCTAAAATGGCGACAAGAAAGCATTGTATTGCTTCGATTTTCATGTCGTGTTCAGTGTTTATGTCGGCGCTTGGTCGATCGATTGACAACGACTCTGCGGCACTTAAATCGCACTTTTTTACGGCGTTTGGGAACCTACTTAAAGACGAAGATACGTCCCAAAAGGCTTCGCAAAACAAAGAATAAATATTCTCGAGTGTATTTAGACGTGCACATTACAGCCAAACCAACTGATTATTGCCAAAATAAAGGCTTACTTTGGCCAACTTTGGCCAATTATTGGGATTTAATAGACACTTGTATGGGGAATAAGAGGTAAGAAGCTATCGAGCTAGGGAACTCATTTAGCCTTGTCAATTTGTCGCGATATTTGTTCTAGTTATTATTTGTGTTATATACTGACGTTTTAGACGTGCACATGTGAGAATTTGTAAGGTTATAAAATAAAAAAACAGAAATATAGTTTTTCTCTATCAATTCTATACATTGCCGCCATTTTGAATTTATTTCATTTGCGCTTTGCGCGCAGCAGAAATTTTTTTTGGGATCACTTTCTTTGGGAGCTTGGTAACCGCGCCTGTTATGATGCAATATAGGAAGCCTGCACAGCAGGAAATAGATTGCGGTCGAATTCTTTGACGCGATTATATAATATATATTGTATACTTATTCACATTAATATCGCTGCGGTTTTGACGCATTATTCATTGGGTATTGTATTTGTATTTGTATTAAAACTTTATTTAGAGACACTAGCCCCGTCAACGGTGCGTTGGTTTCCACGGGGGGCGTCTACAATGTTAAAAATTACAAAAGATATAAGGGAAAAGAAGACTATTTACAAATTGGTGTGACCCCAGATGTTATGGTTAGACGGAGTTACAATTTATTTCAAATATATATAGTATTAGAGTTAAGATTTAAATGGCTTTTGAACAGGTGCATTGATTCTGCCAGTTTCGTATCGATAGAGAGACTATTCCATAGCTTAGCCCCACTGTATTTAAAACTCTTTTTTAGGAATTCTCTTTTAGGCTTAGGAAGAGCCAAATCTGTATGACTATTTCTAAGATCATAATTTGTTTGCATATGATTGCGTCTTATCAAGGATTCTTTCAACGTAGGTCCTACGTAATCCTTCAAGACTTTAAACATTAATATTGCTTTGGTTGTACGTCGTCTTGTCTCTAAATTGTCCCAAGCAAGAGATTGAAGAACATCAGCAGATCTAATCTCATAACTTGCACCGACAATGATTCGGGCTGCGCGATTTTGAAATTTTTGGAGTTTATTTTTCAAATTTTGATCACAGACGCCCCAAATGGGAGAACAATAATCAAAATACGGCTGAATCAGAGCTCGATAAATTGTTTGAAGGGTGGTTATTGGAACAAAGGGTTTAATACGTCTCAAAGTACCCAGGCCTGCTCCAACCTTTTTGCAAATCGCCTGAATATGTGAATTCCAGTTAAGATTTTCATCTAAATCGAGACCAAGACATGTGAAAGAGTGAACTCTGGGGATGCGTTGGTTATTTAACATCACTGGATGATCAAAAGTTGTGGAATTAATATGATGTTTAGAGCCAAAGAACATTATTTTGGTCTTAGTTGGGTGGTGTTGTAATTTATTTCTAGAAAGCCAATCACCGATTCTACTCAGATCGTGATTAAGGTTTTCGGTTAATTCAATCAAACTGTTAGAGCTGCAGCAAATTTGGGTATCGTCAGCATATAAATAAGGAGTAGTTTTTTGAAGGCATTCGGGGAGGTCATTGATATAGAGTAAAAATAACAGTGGACCTAAAATAGATCCCTGCGGAACCCCAGAAACAATCCTTTTTGACGATGACATTGAATTATTAACAATACAGACTTGCTCCCTATTATTTAAGTAAGACTCAAACCATCTTAACTCAATATCCGATATACCGAATTGATCTTTTAATTTATGAAGCAGAATATTATGATCAATTGAGTCGAAGGCTTTACGAATGTCAAGAAAAACAATGCCGCTCAATTGACCATTATCCATATTTTCATAAAGAGTATCGCACACCTGAGTTAGAGCGGTGAGAGTTGAATGTTTAGGCCGAAAACCATGTTGATGTTTTGAAAGAAGTGAATTGTCATTAAGAAATTTATAAATTTGATTAAAAACGCATCTCTCAAGTATTTTACTAACAATGGGTAGTATCGAGATAGGGCGATAATTCTCGCATTTCAACCTGTCATCAGATTTATAAATGGGTGTAACCCAGGCTTTTTTCCATTCATCCACATATTCTCCTTTTTTGATCGAAAGGTTAAATATCCAAGTTAATGGCGGACCAACAATGTCCGCGGATATTTTAAGAGCTTTAGCAGGGATGTTATCTAATCCTGTGGATTTTGAAATTTTGAGACTACGCAATTGATATATTACTTCGTCCTCGTTAATTTCAGAAAATTTGAAAAAAAGATTGGAGTCGGTAGTAGGCCTAGAATCTCCGCGAGCAAAAGAATTTGTGTTGAGGGAATTATCTTCAATTTCAGCTGCAAGTTTTGCCCCGATATTGACAAAGAAATCATTAAAAGCCTCAGATTTCAATTTATCGTCTGAAATGACAGAATTATCCGTTTTAAGTTGGGATATCGTGTTTGATTTCACATTTTTACCCATGAGGTGGTTAATTAAATTCCAACTTTGCTTTATGTCTTTGGACTGAGCACAATCTTCTATTTTATTGCAGAAATAGTTTCTTTTAGCTTTAATTAGTTCAGCATTAACTTTGTTTCGTAATTCCTTATATTTTGTCCAATGACTTTGAGAATTATGTCTAACCGCTTTTATTTTGTGGAAGTCTCTTGATCTCATTATACCCTTGATGTCTGAAGAAATCCAAGGGAGAGAATTTCCACGAGTTCTCATACGTCTAAGGGGAGCGTGTCGATCAAGGACCTGGAGGTATAGTGATTTCCATACCTGCCAGCATACATTAGAATTGTCATGTTGGGCAATGTTCTCCCACGGCATCTGTGAAAGATCCGTAAGAAAATCATTGGCATTGAAATTTTTAAAGTTACGAATATGTTTAACCTTTTCCCGTGATTTGGGAATACAATGTTTTCTAATAGCGAAAATCATACTGTGATCAGAAAGTCCAAGGTGTATGACACCAGACTTTGAAATATTTTCCTCTTTATTTGTCAGAATTAGATCAATTAGAGTTGCTGATGTTCCAGTAATCCTTGTGGGTTCATCAATAAGCTGATCGAACTGATAAAGTGATGAAAGGAACTGTAGCTTGCGAGTATGAGACTCACAAGGAGATTTCAAGATATCACAGTTCAAATCACCCATAATTATTACCTCTCTATTTTCTATATCGCTATTTCTTAAAAAAGCCTCATATTCATCAAAAAGAGCAGATTGCGAGTTAGGAGCTCTATACCAAGTGCTTACTAAAAATGACTTATTGTGAGGTTTACTAATTTCAATGCATATCATTTCTAGTGAGTCAGTTACTAAGTCATTTCGTTCAGAAAACGGTATAGAGTCACGAACATACAATAGTACTCCCCCACCAGATCTAGATCGGTCATGGCGAATGTGAAAGTAACCAGCGATTGCTATTTCACTGTCAGGCACCAAATGGTTTAATTTTGTCTCGTTTATAGCAAGAATATCAACTGGCATGTTTTGCATGATCAAGCGAAGCTGATCAATGTTTTTCAACAGGCTGTTAATGTTCAAGCACGCTAATCGTAAGCCTTTAGAAGACTCTAACTCATTAAATAAATTGTTAAAGTTACCTTGTATGGGGTCACACCGATTACCTATTTGGTTCGTTGTCTCCGAGAAGAGTACTGTCCGATACATTGAGTCCGATATTATTTCCTTCTGCGGGTGCGGGTGCCCTTGTCTGGAGGGACAATTATCTTTAACAGTTCTCCAAGTTTCAGAATTGCCGATCGCTGAAAATCCTCGTAGTTTTGCCTTCGTTTACTTGGAGAGGTTGATGCACTGCCCCCCTTGAGAAATTTGATAAAATGGACTGCTAGAATAGCCGAGCCCTTCGCATTTAGATGAAGCTTACTTCCATTTAGGCATGTGTCATCTATAGTCGTATTGTCAATAAACGAGACATCCAGTTGCATACAAATATGCTGAAGCTCCTTATTAACCTCATCAATCTTTTCAGACATAGCAACATCTCGCCGCGCCGTTAGGCCTGATAGACCAATTTTCGAGTAGGGAAATTGTGACTTTACTTTCGCAGCAAGCTTCTCAATTTTCTGAGCACATTCGGAAGCAGATTCTAGAGGCAGGTTGTTTGTCCCAGCATGTACAATTACGTGAGATGGGATTGCTTTTAGACTATCGAAATTGATCTCCTTTTCGATTTCTTCGGCGGTTTTTCCTGGGAATGTGTACTTATGTACCTTCTTCCTACTGAGCTTCCTTGGTTGAATATTTTTAATTATTGAGTCGCCAATAACAATGATATCCGAACCGATTTCACGCGTTTTAAGATTTTGTTGCTTGTTTTGATGCTCACCCGTAGATTCTTCTTGGTTGTTTACAGGCTTTGTTTCATAACGCTTGGAAAGATTGTGCGGAACAGTAGACTCTGTTTGTGACTCATTATCCAAGGTATCGCTCAGGGTTAGAAACCGGTTTTCTATATTGAGCATGTGGGAACTTGATGGAATTATATCTGCTTGCTGCTTTCGATCGCTGCTTTTAGTTTTCTGCACGGTTTCGAAATTATTAGACATTTCAGCTGTAATGTTATTCGGTTGGTTTAAGTTATTCAAACAAGCTTGATAGTCCTTTTGTTGAAGAGCCAAGGCCGTAGCGAGATTGACCTTCTCGTGCTCTAAATATTCAACTTTCGCTCTCAGATCTTTTATTATGTTGTTTGCTTCTTCCAGGTTATTTCTCAGATTAGCCTTTTCGCTTTCACATGTGTTAAATTTACATGGCCGTGAATTTTCTTTTCCTTCATAAGAATCAGTTCGGTTTTTAAGTTGCTGTATATCATCTTCGATACACTTGAGTTGTGACACGACTTCACGACAACAACATACAGAATTAGTAAATTTCAGATCATTTTCAGCTAGGGGCACTTCGGTCGGGAAGTTGACCGCTACAGTTTGGTTTTCTGCCTTGTTTTTGTCTTTGTCTTTGTCATCGTTCGACAATGATGTCGACTTCTGAACGCCTTCGAGCGTGTTTTTGTTTCCAATGGTTTCACTGCGTTGTCCTACATCATGACCTTTGAAATTACCCAACGTGGCAGATTTCACAAGTTTCTCTTGAAGGCTTTCATTCTCATCATCTTGAATTACAACGAGCTTTTGCTTTGTTTTACCGTGCCACTTCAACGTATAGCTTTTACTCGTGAATTTCTTTACTTCTCCGCCAGTAGATTTCCATTGACCGTCAATGCCCAAGTCGGATTTTACAAACAGTTTCAGACTTTCATACGGACCTTTCCAAACCAATTCCTCGTCTATTTTTAGAAGATTTGATTGTTTAAAAGGTGTAGAAGTTATCAGCGTACTTTGTTCTTGTATATCTTCAAAGAAGCTAAAATGATCATCGACAATAACGGAGCCTTCTAATGTTTGACCGGACGCCATCTTGCATTTATGACCAGAAGCTAAAATGATCATCGACAAGAAGCTAAAATGATCATCGACAATAACGGAGCCTCATAATGTTTGACCGGACGCCATCTTTCCAAAAGCTTTGTACCCATAAATAAAATGTAATAAAAAGAGAACACATTACAAATTTTTTTTATAAAATAGATAAAAATATACCATAAATATCGAAATATTGAATTTCGTTTTGAATATATGCTAGTATAAAGGTCATAAGTTCGTGCGTATTCGAAATATAGACACATAGAACACATTCAAATTATTCAATTAAGTAAAATTAACTATGAATTTATTTTAAAAGTTCCCTTTTTGTATTATATTGTGCACTTTGACTAATACTGTGTGAGTCGTGTGAGTGTATGTCACAGATAGTCTCGGTTGAAACGTGATGTTTATACTAGCCGACAAATATGCAAACCACACACTCGAATGCTTGTTATATGCGCACTGATGTCTTTATCATGATTATCATGTTTTATATCAATATTCAAAGATCAAAATTTTCCTGGGCGCAATGCAGAATGTAAATACTCACGTTTATAGATTTTGCATTATAAACTGTGTAAGCTGAGGGCGATGCACAAATTCAGTTGTAGTAACTTCTAATATATATTTTACATTCGTACTTCACCATTCAGTTTACTTCAGGCTATTATTGCCACACACGCTAAAGGTTAATGATAATTAATGGTATAATAGACTTTATATGGGGTACCTGCATAACCCCAAATTTACATCAAGTGTCCCAACAAATCCAAATATGTACCCTGAATAAAAGTCGCGGTTACCAAGCCTCCCACGGAAAGTGATCCCCCAAAAAATTTCTGCCTGCGCGCATGCTTTTCCGCCATACTGTATTGGATTTCTAGCCATGATTATCGGTGAATAAAAACCGAGACGGAGTCGAGGTTTTTATTCACGATAATCACCGAGCCTGAGGCGAATAATTGTTTTAGTATAATTTCATAGGTGATTATTTGGAAAAAATAAGAAAATACACATTTCTTCGTCATTTAATTGACAAAACGGCTTCGGCCGCCATTTTGAAAATCGCTTAGGTGATTATCGCGTAATAATCACCTCAACGGCAACCAATCAGCGTGGAGAATTTTCAATAATCACCTATGTAATTATACTAATTTACTTTAAACAATAACTTCAATTCTTTGTAGCTATAATCCTACAGCTATAACCAGTGGCGTAGCCAAACCTTAATTTTTTTTTTTTGGGGGGGGGGGCAAACCTCACACCAAAGGCGTGAGACCGTCTAGGAGGGTCCGGAAAATTTTGAAATCTAGGGTCCCTGAATTGCGATTTCATGCATTTTGGGGGTAAAATCTAGCAGAATTCCGAAGATTATAAAGTACATCGAAGACATGAATTTTTCCAGACATTTCTACTCGGAATTAAATAAATTGGAATAAATTCATTTTAGGTTCTATGAGACACAATTTTCGCATTCTCAAAATTGCGTTGCTCTTTTATACGATACAGAAAAGGTCTGACAAGAAATATTCATGCTATGATGATGCATACATGTATTTAACAGTTAAAAATCTAAACTAAATCTATTCTTCTTGGAACCATATCTACAACTGCTTTAACGAGATTTCACAAATCAAGTTCCTCCAGTATATCGTCTTTTTCCTCAGTCGAGACGTACTTAAT